TAATTCCATGGTTCTATAATTCTGTGATTCCATGATTCTATGATTCCATGATTCTATAATTCTATGATTTTATGATTCTGTAATTCCATGGTTCTATAATTCTGTGATTCCATGATTCTATGATTCCATGATTCTATAATTCTATGATTTTATGATTCTGTAATTCCATGGTTCTATAATTCTGTGATTCCATGATTCTATAATTCCATGATTCTGTGATTCTATGATTCCATGATTCTATAATTCCATGATTCTGTGATTCCAGAACTCTATGATTCCATGATTCTGTGATTCCAGAACTCTATGATTCCATGATTCTGTGATTCCATGATTTTATAATCTCATGATTCTATGATTCTGTAATTCCATAATTCCATGATTCTATGATTCTGTAATTCCATAATTCCATGATTCTATGATTCTATAATTCTATGATTCCATGATTTTATGATTCTATAATTCCATGACTCCATGATTTTGTGATTCTATGATTCTCTAATTCCATGATTCTATAATTCCATGATTCCATGATTCTATAATCTCGTGATTCTATGATTCCATGATTCTCTAATTCTATAATTCCATGATTCCCTGATTCCCTGATTCTTTGATTCTGTGATTCCATGATTCTATAATTCCCTAATTCCCTGATAATTCCCTGATTCCCTGATTCCCCGCAGCACGACACGTGTCCCGTCTGCAGGAAGAGCCTCAAGGGGGAAGATTCCACCCGGCAGACTCCGAATCCCGACGCTTCCGACAGCGCCCTGCAGGAGCGATGGACTTTCTGACCCTTCCCCGGAACGTTCCGGAGCGTTCCGGGGCCTTCCGGAGGCCGGAGCAGCCCCCGTTCCGGGTGTGCATCGAGAATTCCAACAACCCCCCCCTCCTCCAAGCAGCGGGAATTCGGGGGCCCACCCCCACCGGGAATTCCTCCTCCCGCTCCGCGGAACCGCCTCGTTCCTCCTAAATTTTGGGGAATTCTGGGCAGGGATTTGGTTTGATTTGGATGGAAAGGGGTGGTGGGGTGGTTTTTTTTTTTCCGGTGGGGGCTCCCGAGTCCCCCACGGCCTCCTCTGGAAGAGGGATTTCGGGGGGGATCTCCCCGCGCTCCGGGAAGCTGGAATTGGCTGGAATCGCCTGGAATTGGGGGGCGGGAGGGATTTTATCGCCCCGGGTTGGGGGGAATCCTGGGGGTCTCTAAAATCAGGGGGCAGCTGGAGGCAGGAGGGGTCTGGAGCCCTTCCCGAAGGGGGGATTGGACCCTCAGGAGTCTGGGAATGCTCTGGGATCGGGAATGCTCCGAGCAGGATTTTGGCAGCTCCGGGATCCTGGACTTTTTTCTTTTTTTTTTTTTTTTTTTTGAGGGGGTTGTTTTGGGGTTTTTCCAACCCTTTTCCACGTGCCTGTGGCCCCAGGTGTGTCCAAACCTCACCCCCCCCTCGCCATTCCAGGCAGGAATTATGGACCACGTTGCTCATCCCTTGGGAATTCCCCCCCCCACCTTCCCCAGTAACTTAAGGAAAATCTTTATTTTTGCCGATTCTTTGGTTGTTTTGAGGGGGTTTTTTTTTTCCCCTCATTTCTGTGAAGTTTCATTCAGGTCTTAATCCTTGGAATTATCCTTGGACTCCTGGGATCCACTGACCCCCCCCCCCCTCCTGGAGGGGGGTGGGACATTCCCAAACCTCTTGGGGTTGGTGGCTCCGTGTCCACGTGGATTGAATTCCCTGTTTTCTTTGCTCTTCCGTCCAATAAAGGCCTTTCTCAAGGAATTCCCGTTCCCAAGGGATCCTTGGGGCTGGGAAAGGGGGGGGGTAGGAGCTGGGAAAGGCTTTTTGGGGAAGGAAACCCCTGATTTGGGGAATGATCCTGCAGGATTTGGGAATGGTGTCCCTGTGCCCCCTCCCTGCTCCGCCGGGAGCTGTTCCTGGGGCAGGAGCCAGGACAGGGCTGTGGATCCGCAGGGATTGGGAAAATCCAGGCAGATCCTGGGTTTATCCCGGTGCTTATCCCTGTTATCCAGCATTCCAGCTCTCCTGCTGGGAATTTTGGGGGGTGGGAGGGGTCACATCCCCTCCCTTCCTGCTCCCACTTCCTCCCTCTCCCACATTGTCCCAGAAATCAGGAATTCCTTCCCCGTGGAGCCGGATTTAACCCGGATTTTGGGCTTTAAATCTGAGGGCAGCGTGGGCTGGGATTTGGGATTTGGGATTCGAATCCCCCCCCCCATCCCTCCCTGTCATATTTGGAGTCATTCCAGAGGTTTTTCCCAGATCAGGAAGCATTCCCGGGCACACACAGGGATGTGGGATCCGGCGGGAGCCCGGCCCGGAGTTTTATTGCTGGAGCTGCTCCGTCCATCCCGACTCATTCCCGGCTTTTTTTCCCACTTCCACGTGTGTCCCCCCCCTCCCAAATCCTGGGTGGGTGGTTGGGGGGGGTGGCTCCGGCCTCACCTGCTCATCCATCCCCCCGCCAGCCCAATCCCACCCCCCCACCGGGATGGATCCAAGGGGGGGGCGGCGGAATCCCGGGATGAACCCTGGACATCCTGGGAATGTTCTGGAGGATCGGGAAGGGTCTCAGTGCTGCTCCTGCTCCTCCTCCTCCTCCTCCTGGGGCGGCTTCGGGCGGGAGAAGAATCCCAGCTGGGGGGGAGAGGGAATGGATTGGGGGGTGGGAAGAACCCCCTGGGGGGGCATTGAACCCCCCGAGGTGACAGTGACCCCCCAAAGGTGACAATGACCCCCCCAGGGGACACTGTGACCCCCCAGAGGTGACACTGAACCCCCAGGTGACAGTGAACCTCCAGGTGACAATGACCCCCCCAGGGGACACTGTGACCCCCCAGAGGTGACACTGAACCCCCAGGTGACAGTGAACCTCCAGGTGACAATGAC